TTGTTCCCGCACAGGCGAGCAGCGGGTATCGATACGGACAGCGCTTCCTCAGCCCCGTCTCTGCAGGGCCTTGCCCCACTGCTTTGCGATGCTCGGGAAGACGATGAGTGCAGGGTGAGTCTTTCCTGCTAAGTGCTGTGCTTTGCACACTGCCGCCCAGCCCAGCCGTGGTGACTGAGAACAAACCTCTGCTTACCCCAGCGTGACTAAAACCAAAGAGCCTCAGAAGGGCTGGGACTTACTGGTGCAGCTAGAAGGTAGTTGTAGGGTAACAACTGCTTGAGGGAGAAATTAGATGCCCCAGACTAAGGAGAGATTGTGACCACAGAATGGGAGGGCAAGTTTTCAGCCTGAAGGAAATAAAGCACGTTCCTATCATCACACTTCATCAAACAGCAGTGACAAGCCACTGTCTGTTATGAAGTGTTACAGCAGACTCATAGTCCATTCCTGCACCCTTGGAACGGAACAAGCTGCACTACACATCACCACACAAGTACCATTATTCTACTGGCACATCGAGTCACTTTTAATTGCATAGAAACGCTGCTTACAGGTACCAGCACAAAAGCAGTTTATTGTCAAAGCACAGAAATCAAGGCCCACTTTCACCAGTGGAAGCACACCCAACGTGAACACAGACTCCAGCCAGCAGTCGCAGGGTTGAGTCCCAGACTGCTGCAGCTCCTGCCGAGGACAGCTCTTCATCAAACATTCTCTTGAAGAACCCGAATAAAAGTTCACAAAGTCCCACTTGACCATACTCAGGTTACATTGAACTGGGGAGCTCAGCCAGGGAGCCACCTACTGCTTCAGTCCCTCAGGGGCAGTCAGTATGTGTGTGTCTCACCACTCTGCAGGCAGTTACCAAGAACAAAGAGCACAGACTTTCTGCACAAACTTGATGCAGTCTCTCAGACTGGAGTGGGTGAATTCCAGGCAGACACTGCAAAGACTGGCTCTGGAACAAACAACATGTTTTACTGCAGGAAAAGAAACAAACCCACGTAACGATTTTAAACTTGGTCCCCAACAACCTCTCTTTTTTTGGGGAGATTTTAGGTTAAACCATTCGAGTGATTCAATCAAATGTGATCCGGAAACTGCGCTCTTGCTCCTTGCGGCGGCTCTCACAGACCTTTGTCACCTCTTCTACCTTCCTCTGCAACACGGCTGTGGGAGAAACAAGAGATTAACCTTAGAATCACCCTGAACCACGACCCTGCAGAGTTTGGCCTGAAGAAGGAGAAAGAAAAACATTGTCATTTTGGCAGTCACACAGCCTTGACAGTGCACAAAGGAGGAGGAAATCCCAACACAGAGCAGTGGTAATCCTCCAAGGCAAAGAAGAGTGTCTAGTTTCCCCTTCTCACCTCCTGCTAAAATTTGCTTTGAATTATACAAATTACAGATGAACTACACCATCTGTTCAAAGTACATACACATATTTTCTTGCAGGGTATCACACAGCCATAACAAGCCTCTAACTCTCCAGTAGAGATTCACTAAGTTCTGGGAATACAGAAAAGACAGTGCAATCGCACAGGAGGGCTACAGAGCACTCGCAGCCACAACACAGATGAGCTGCTATTTGCACATCACCAATTTGGGAATACATAAGGCACTGACTGATCACCAACTTTAAACACAGCAGGTACCACAATATACAAAAATATCTTGGAACAAGCTATAGCAATTTCTAATTTCATTCCATGAAATCTTATCATAATCAACAGGGCTACGGCATCATGTCAGCCTGTGGCTTAGAGATAGAGACTCCAGGTTAGGTGTTAGTTCATACAGCATGCCAAACCCAGAATCTTCCATAACATATTAACCAACACATTCCAGTTTGTTACTTTTCAAGCATACACCATGCCAAAAAATGGCTATGGCAGAAGATGGCAGCGTGCTTCACTGTCTCATAGAGCTCTTGCTTAACTTGTAATTTAGCTGTAAGTATGAAAGAGAAGACTTGCTGGTTCTCTCAGGAAGAGCTAGAAGGTCAGAACAAGGCTTTGTCCAAATACTCCTTTCCGTTGTGGAAGCAACACCATCCTCCATCTATGTTCAAGTGGTGGCATTCTCAGTAACTGCCACAGTCGCATGTTGTTGTTAGACAAGTCAGACCAGTTAACAGCCACTGCATAGAGGTATGCCTAGAAAAAATCCCAGGATGTTGTGGAACAGTCCTGGAGGTGTTCCACAGGAAACAAAAATCAGTAACACCCACAGCACAGATGTCCATGTTCTGAGTTGGGGGGTGGTTGTTAATATCTTTCCTATACAAAAAAGATGTTAAGGAACACATCCTTCCCAGGCCTACTCAATGTACTGATGGCAAGGGCTACATGAAGGCTTAAGGCAAGACTGCATCATTTTTCCAGCATATCACTGGAGAGCAACAGGAATGCTTCTCCTTGCCTAGGACCCCACAGGAACAGAGACACACATTAACCTTTTTGAAAACCAGCAGTTTCTTCAGCTTACTGCTTCTGTCTCACCTGAAGGTGAACTGAGGGTGAACTGCTGCTTTAGGTGTACATTTCCCAACAAAGAGACTGACTCGTTATTAACCGGTAAGACACTTTCTTTGGTACCGAATGACAGAGGGGGAAAATGGGTCTCCTTGCTAGAAAGATTTAAAGGAAGTGGATTGCCATTTTCACACATTCTGTAAAGTCAGAATTCTGATCCACAGGAGCTGCACCAGATTTCCAGATAAAGGCATGTTTGGAATGTGGAAGTTAGCATACATGCTCTGGAAGAAAAGGACAAATTAAATCCCGACCTACACCAGTCATACTGTTTAAAAGGGACAGTAGTGTGCCTGCTTTCACCCAAGAAGCACACCAGGCATGAGCACTTCCACAGCACTCAGGCACACAACGCAATTCGGAGCTTCTGAGAGGAGCTCGGCTTTGTTCTGCCATGCCCCCGTGTGGCTGCTGGCACCCAAACCCGTGTAGAATTCTTGAACCCCTCACCAGGAGGCACTACCGGTGAGAAGAGCCCCTTTCTCTGTTTGCTTTTAGTATGGCACCATCATACACTAGAGTTAAGGGCAAACCCAAGACAAGAAACAACACCAAGTACTCCATCTGCTCTGTGCTACACCTCAACTTACTGCTCCTGTGAAACTTCCACACTGGAGCTCCAGAGTGACAGGGCCTGCAGACAAATGCACACTGCTCAGCCTTACCTGGATTTGGCTTCCCCGTTGGGGTGGGTGCATGAGAACATTAAACACACGCACACCCCCTCTCACATTTTCCTATTTCCAAGGGAAACCCCACAACATTTGAGAGATTGAAATATTTTACCTTAGGTTGACAGAACAAAGCACAAGGTTTTCAAGTCTCTGCTTTGCACTGATGCGTTTCAATCTGTCCTTTTCATAGAATAGTTAGGGTTGGAAAGGACCTTAAGATCACCTAGTTCCAACCTCCCTGCCACAGGCAGGGACACCTCACACTAAACCATGTTGCCCAAGGCTCTGTCCAACCTGCCCTTGAACACTGCCAGGGATGGAGCATTCACAACATCCTTGGGCAACCTATTCCAGTGCCTCACCACCCTCACTGTGAAGAACTTCCTCCTTATATCTAATCTAAACTTCCCCTGTTTAAGTTTAAACCCATTTTCAGGAAAACATTGGCAGTTGCCAGGAAGTACTTCTCAGTAGAGGCCTCCATTGCACATCAGAATTCAAGCACAAAGAGGACAGTATCACTGAAGGAGAGGGGGAGAAGGCTCCTCAGGGACCTTCAGGAATTCATTTGTGTTCAAGAAACACTTGCACACATGCTCCATGCTTTCTATTTACATTCCCAAAAAGCTGCAGGACAACTCTCACCTGAGTTCTGGTCAATCCACTGCAATGAATCCATGTGTGCATTCAAGATCTTACAGATCTGCTGAAGCTGAGCAGAAAGAGGAGGTACAAGTCAGTTCTTACTCTACAGAAAAACTAAGAGCAGTAAAAGACACACACTCCCTGTCCCTGCCTTTGGAGCACCATGCAGCCCAGTTTCGCATGTGTACAGCTCTGCTTACTTAGCAACCACTGCCCCAGGGAAGCCTGTGCAGCACCTGAGCTGCTTGCTTCTCTTCACCTTCAGGTTCAGTGCCTGTGGCTTCAGCTTATTCCAATTCAGACCCAGGAACCACACTCATCACCTCAGGCTTGAGGTTGAAAAAGCAAAAAGGAATGGGAAAAAACTCAGTCTGCAACACTGAAGGGAAATTTTGCTACAAGAAAGATGCAAGTAGTGGAGCAGATAGCCACAAGGTTATGGGCTGCCTCTGAAACAAGCTGTAATCTTGCAGAAGTAAGACATCAGATAACCAGGGTTCCTACAGAATGTGGTACTCTGAAATCTAGTAATAGAACTGCAGAGTAACTGCGTGTCTCAGGCTGGTTGCGCTGTGTTATAACACCAGTTTTATGACAAGAGAACCAACCAAAGGACAAAACAAAACATCCTTCCCAGGTTGAAACTTCAAGCAGATGAGCATCCAAAAGTGGAAAAAGTTAGAATGGTATAAATATCCTTTGTCTCTCACTAACATGCAAAGAATAAAGCTTGGATTTACCGGGTCACTCGTGTCTGCTGGGCCTCCTGACGTATTCAAATGCTCAATGATGTCCTTCAGATCTTGAGCCATGCGCTTCAACTGAGCATCTATGTTTTCAGCCAGTTTGTAACTGCAAAACATACAAAACTGAAGGTCAGAATATTTAAAGTGAATTTCAGAAGACCTGCTCCCAGTCATGCCTTTCAAGTAATGCTGCAGACATGTGGGAACAGCACCCCAAGAAGAACGGTAGCACACAGATGAGGTAACTCCTAACCTCTTTCTCTCTGGATAGATATATGGAGACAGACAAGCAATAGTCTGGGGGACTTTCTGGAGAGTCTTGTCAAAACTGAAGGATGAAACTAGCCTGGATTCCAAAATACTTATCCCTCTTGAGCCAACATTTCTTGTAATTACCCTGCTACAATTCAACACTTAAAGCTAATAATCATGCCTGAGCCCTACTTAGTGCATTCTGCTCTCATCACTTCAATTACTAAATAATCATTAATTTTCACAGATTATGCCAAAATTAGTAACCTGCTCCCAGACAGCTGATTAGACAACAACACCCAAAGAGATTTTCATGCTGATTCAAGGGCTTCCACTCGCAATTCTCCTGTTTCTAATGCGTAAAAGCTATGCTGCCATGCAGAAAACAGGGTTACTTGCTTGACCAAGGCCTCTGACAGACCAACACTGTCATGCATCCCAACTCTACATCTTGCTGACTGATCATCACATTAGTTTGCTCAGCACATGTCCAAGACAGAGTTGTGCCTTACGTCCTCTCCCGTTCTTCATCTGCGTGCTGCAAGTAGATGGTCCCGCTCTGCTCCTTCACAGACTCCTCCAGAGGGGTCAACAAGTCTTCAAGCTCCTTCTGCTGGGACAGAATGAAGTCCAGTTCCTGATCCAGTCTGAAAAGACAAATGTTTACCAACCCACTTAGAGGCCATGTACATTCTACAGCTGCTGTTCCACACGCAAGAAGATTTTGGGGTTTTTTGCATTACTTCAAGCGTTCGTAATCTCATACCTTTTCTGATCAAGCTTCACTTTCTCTACTTCTCTGTGCAATGAAGAAATCTGAAACACAACGAGTTATACTACGAAAATTCAAAATCAAATCAAGAATTAAAAAGAAGACTGGTGGATCCAAGAAAGTCAACAAAATACAAATGTCTACTAAAGCAAGAAACAGTTACATAAAGATTTACAGACCAAACTTGAACAACAGAGGTTTAGCTTTGAAACTCCACCATAAAATAACTTGTTATCATAGTGCAAACTCACAGATTTACAAGCATCAACATATATCAACCAGAACAGACACACAGTGAGTCTTTCAAAACCACCCAGACATAATTCACATCTGCACCTGTAACATTAAAGGCCTTTAAGGCTCTAAGCTGACAAACCAGGTTACGCTTGATGTCACTTTACCTTCTCTCCATTCTCTATCAGCATCCGATCCCAGGCATTAACTTGTGTAGCTTGATGGAGAAAGTGTTTCTCCTGGTCTTCCAGTTCCAGGCTCCACTTGTTTATCAAACTCTCCAGCTGGGCATAGGTCATCACCGGAGGCGCACTGAGGGGAAGCGTGAGACAGTGCAGAGCACAGGATCAAACCCAACACGTAAACATGGCACCACTCACCTCCCCCTGCTCCACCAGGCACCAGCACTGATACTGCCTCTTGCCCTCATCAGGACACAGTCACTTGTACCAAGTTACTCACCTGGTGCTTGTTGTTGTGGTGATGGCAGCTGTAGAAGTCACAGCTCCAGTGGCACCAGTTGTAGTCAGTGGCTTAAGATTCAAAGCAAAGCCAGAAGCAGTAGTGGTGCCTGAAAGAAGAGATTTGGGTCAAGCAAGCGATGAGGACTCATCTGCTATCAAACAAATAGGGAACAGGTCCAGTGTGCACTTCTAAGCACAGTGCTGTGTGAGCTCAACCAGGCCCCTCTGAAGGGAACAAAAACAAATCAGGAGGAGCTAATCTGTTTACTTTTCTAGAACATCAATGTCGATGTTTCCTTTATGCAACCACAGAGCACTCAGTCAGGCTTCCTTCTCCTCAGCTACTTTCTGCATCTAGTCCTTACCAGTGGCAGTGCTTGTTGTGGCAGCAGCTGTTGTTCCAGGAGCTTTTAACCCAAACCCAGGTGTCCCAAGACTGGCTGTCCCAGTGGAAGGGGGCCCAACAGTAAACAAAAGACATCCAGAAGACTTTT